GACTCCGGAACCAAAATACGGACCCGATACTAACAATGCCAAATATCAATCAATTCTTAAAAATAAATAATTTTCAAACTTTTAATTTTCATCAAAAATTCATAACTCAAGCTAGGGACCTCCAAATTCGATTCCGGGCATACGCCCAGGTCCCATAATTCGATACGGACCTACCGGGACCGTCAAAGCACGGATCCGGGCCCGTTTACCAAAAATATTAACCGAAGTCAACTAAAATTAACTTTTAAAGCAAAAATTCTTATTTTCATTAGCTTTTAACATAAAAGCTTTTCGGAAACCTGCCCGGACTGCGCACGCAAATCGAGAAGGGTAAAAATAAGATTTTTAAGGCTTAAGAGCGCAGATTCGAGTTGTAAAACATAAGATGACCTTTTGTGTCATCACAGATTGTTATCAATTTACCAACAACAAGACAAATTGCACAAGGTATAAAAGTAAACACAAGAAAATCAGAACATCACATTAAAATTATCAACACCACAACCCCACATCATCGCATATCGTACCTGACAATAGCCACCCTTATCGCTCCTATTGCCACCCTTATCACTCCTATAACCACCTTTATCGCTCCGCCCAGACAATACCAATAGCCACCCTTATCGCTCCTATAGCCACCATTATCGCTCCGTCCAGACAATATTCCAACAAACACAACAGTGAAATGCCACCCTTATAACCACATAATATCAACGGTGAAATGCTATCCTTATCTCCCTAAAATAAAAACTCATACAACACAACAATTTACACGGAAAATTATCACAACAACATAACAAAATCAATTCATATCACAATTTGCCCAATGGCCACAACCAAATTCCAAAGCTACAACCAAGTCAATTAATTTCACAACAAATAGCCAAAAGCTCCACACAATGTGTACAACACCCAAAAATAATCAATAGAGATAGAAATTACTCAACATAAAGCAAAGTCTTCATTAAATTCAAATTTTCAATAATTATATAAACACCTCTTCTTAAACTCATTTAATTAATTATTTGCAGAGGAAAAATTCATAATGAAATTAAATTCCAATAATTATCAAACTAACAAATTCACATAATTACATAAATAATCAAGTAACAATCACATCAGATTGTCATATAACAACAGATTCAACAACAACAAGGATTAAGGCACGACAATTAGATGATTAAATATATACCAATAATTACTCAATTTACCACACAATATGCTCAGGACTTTAACTCAATAAAATTTATATATATAAGCTGAGTACGTACTCGTCACCTCGCGTACACGGCTTTTCACATTTCACAAATGGCACATAAGACTCGATGCCTAAGGGGTAATTCCCTCACTCGAGGTTAAGCAAGACACTTACCTTTTTGAAGTTAGGCCAATATTCCAAAATAGCCTTCTTGCTTGAATTGACCTCAAGATAGCTCAAATCTATCCAAATTAATTGTATAACTTCATTAAAATTCATCAAAAATAATTCTGGATAATAATACGTCGACTTAAAATTTTATTCTGAAAAGTCAACAAAAGTCAACACGGGACCCGCCTCTCGGAACCCGACATAATTTTCATGAAATCTGAACACCCATTCCGATACGAGTTCAATCATACCAATTTTATCGAATTCCAATAGCAAATCGACCTCCAAATCTTAAATTTAAACTAAGAAGGTTTTCTAAATTTTTCAACCAAATTCACTAATTTAGTGATAAAAACAACAATATATGCATGTAATTTAATCAAAATTAATTTAGGAATTCTTACCCTAATGTTTTCCTAGATAAACTCTCAAACAATTGCCTCACCCGAGCATCCTTGGTCCAAAAATGGAAGAATGACATGAATTTGGACTTTATTCTGCTGCCCAGGGGTTTGTTCTTCGCGTTCGCGAGACTCCTCTCGTGTTCGCGATGAACAAATTCTTCAAAAGTCATTTTCAAACTCTTCTCAGACAGCCTTTAGTATAATGGTCAAAACGTTTTGAACAAAACTCCAAATGATGAATGGTTTAACTTTCTAAAAATTAACTCCAAGGGCTATAACTTTCATTTGTTGCTCATCTATCAATTCCTTATATATTATGAGATATAAGCTTCCAAAGTCAGCCCTGTGCAACAGAGATTTCCAAACTCTTCCCGGACAGCCTATAGTATATTAACCCTAACTTTTAGTACACAACTCCAAATTATAAATGGTTTACATTTCTGAAAACTAGACACAAAGGTCTACAACTTTCATTTTTAAATTATCTCCAAATTCTTTATAGATTGCGAGATATGAGCCTCTAAAGTCAGACGACGAACAACAAAATTTCCTTCTTCGCGAACGCGAGAACCTCTTCGCGAACGCGGAGAACAAATTCCTAACAGCAAAATCCTTCTTCACGAACGCGAGAGGCTCCTCGCGAACGCGAAGAGCAACACCAGAACCAGCAACCAGCAGAATCAAAACACCCAAACTTGATCCGGAACCACCCCGAATCAAACCCGAGGCCCCTGGGACCCCGTCCAATCGTACCAACCAGTCCCAATACATAACACGAACCTGCTCGAGGCCTCAAATCACATCAAACAACATCAAAGCCACGAATCATACCCCAATTTAAGCCTAATGAACTTTGAAATTTTAAATTCTATATATTGTGCCGAAACACATCAAATCAATCTGGAATGACTTCAAATTTTGCACACAAGTCATAATTGACATAACGAAGCTATTCCAATATCCAGAATTGAATTTTGGCCCCGATATCAAAAAGTCAACCTCCCGGTCAAACTTCCCAAAAATTCATCTTTCGCCATTTCAAGCCAAATTCCTCTACGGACCTCCAAATAATTTTTCGGACACGCTCCTAAGTCCATAATCACTATACGGAGTTATTGACATCATCAAAATTCTATTCCAGCGTCGTCTTCATNTAGTATATGTTTGTGTGTGTGTGTATATATATATATAACACGCTTCGTTGTACTACTTTAACTATATATATAGCATGTTATATATAATATATGTTAGTGTATTCATTATTTCTATTACAAAAGTGTTAACGAATTATATTTATATTATTTAGATAGTAAATATAAAAGTAATTCAAAAGTTTGACCAATGTTGACGTAATAACCGACCAACTTTGGTCGGTAATTTTAAATATAAATTCTTAAATATTTTAAAATATTTTAAATAATAAAATAATTATTAAAATTTAAAAAATTGGGTCCAGATTACCGACCAACGTTGGTCGGTAATCCAAAATTTTCTTGTTAAACCAGCTGGGTCAATTCGTTGACCAATTTACCGATCAACGTTGGTCGGTATTTAGTTTTAAAAAAATATAATTTTTTTTTTCAGTTTTCGTGCAAGCTGGACGGTTTTTGATCGCTTTTTTTGACCGACCAACGTTGGTCGGAAATATTTAATCGGTTTTTAGCGAATTTTTAATAGTGCTTGACAGGGATAATTACGATGACGAAGAAGAACAGTCAGCGGAAGTGATACGGAGAAGAAGTAAGCTGTTTTAATGTATACTATCAAACTTTATGCATGTACGTTTGTCCATTGGATGTGCCATTGCAATTTTAATTTCTGTGATAATGTTTCTTGTTAACTTAATCAATACTCTATCTTCCAATTTACCTGGCATTTTTTACTTTTCTAGATATAAACAATGTGAATTTTGACCAATTTTTTAAAATATATTTTTTCATCAACAAGAATTATATTACTTTCCGAATAGTTTTTGAATATCTAAATTTTAATTTTAAAATATTGAGTTAATCTAACGTTGAAAATTAGTCACATTGACTTTGGAAGCGTAACGTGCCACATAAATATGGTGCTCCCTGCTTAAACTGTCATTCTTGGCTTCATGCATGAAATTTTAAGTTAACTTTCTCACACAGTGCCTCCTGTACTTCTCCGGCAATTAAAAAATTCTTATAATTTAATCCATAACTATTATCGCATTGAACCAACAAATGCTGTATTTTTGAGTTACCTCCCGATTATTAGAAGTTTCTCTTAGATGATTTAGTTTGACTTGGTACAAAGTTTAAGGAAAAAAAGAAGACTTTTGAAACACGTGGTAAGGGCTAAAAGCTTTGTAGGGCCGTAACATTTGTGTGATTATAAAAACTTCTCATTAAGTGTAAAGTGGGTAAAATAAAAAGTTTAAAGTCAAATTGTTTCCAAATATATAAATGTGTCATTCTTTTTGGAACGGACTAATAAACAAAGTGGGTCATTTAAATTGAAACGAAAGGAGTAGTTAAATCACCGCCTTTCGTCCGAGTTAGTCTACTAGAACCATCGTTTCACTCTATTTCGACTTTCACCACCACAAATGGCCCTATACCACAAATGGCCCTATAAATGTAGCTGTCATCGTAATTCTCTCTGCCACTAATAATGGAAGTATCTATATGGATTTGAGACCGAAGATAACTATCAATACAACTACTAATGTGAATATCATGCATGTAAGAATCCAGTAGGGATCTTCGCCCCCAAATCCATTAATCAGATAATTCGAGTTTCGATAACTATAAAAAGAACTTCTAGTTCATCAAACTAGTTATGTTTTTCAAATAAGTAAAATATCAAGCGAGGTTTTCTGCTGTAGTTATTCATCTGGTGTCAACCTGTATTAAGGGAAGGGTATTCATGTGACAGTATATTTTGTTTCTGTGTAAATCATGTTCTCGTGCATAGCTACATCTAGCAGATGCTTTATGAGTCATGTGTTCTCACATACCAAAATATTTTAGTCTTGGCTATCCTGGTTGATCTGACGATGGTTTACACCCTATTAGGTCTAGTAAGAAGAATGTAACTGGCAAAAAGAGTGGTGGTGGATTTATCAAAATATGTAGCCTTTCTCCACAACTTCAGAAGTTTACTGGGGAAGCAGAATTAGCAAGGACAGAGGTTCACAAATTCCTGATGCTTCTCTCTCTTTTTCTCTTTTGAAAACCCGCTCGCCATTGGTATTATCATGCACAACTGAAGCCTTTCATTTGTTTAACAAAGGTAGTGAAGAAAATGTGGAATTACATTCGAGAAAATAGTTTGCAAGACCCAGCAAATAGATGGAATATAAACTGTGATGACACACTCCGCGAGCTTTTTGGTGTGGATAAAATGGACATATTCCAAATGAACAAAGCCCTAGCTGAACATATCTGGCCTTTGGATTCTGATGGCGGTAATGTTAACTCTTCTCTTCTTAGGCCTTAAAAATTAATATCCGCTTAAGTGCTGACTTCTTGACGTTATTTATAAATCATGTATTTCTATACTTGTCCAGTATACTTAACTACAGATTTTTTTATCCACAGCAAAAGCTTTTGGGCCTGCAAATTCTGCAGCAAAGGAGAAGCGACGGAAGTAGGATGATGATGAAGGTAATAACTCTGCCTGAAGTATACTTGGATAATGTTATGTCTGTTGCAGCTGTCAAACTTGCTTCTGCTTATTGTCTCGCCAAAATGCTAATAACTTGCTTAATCTCTTAGATATCCATGGTAGTACTGTTTGTTCTTGCAGCTTTATTGTGTTTGTGCTCCACGGTGCGCTATTCACATTTCATATTGTAAAGGGTTGTTACCTGTCTGATCTTGTGTTCCTAAAAGTTTTTGTCAAATCAGATAATTATTTGTCAACAGCTTTAACAACATTACTTAAACCTGCTTTCTCTCATTATAGATTCAGATGAACTAAAGAGAAAGGAAAAGCGGCACAATTCAGTAATTCTTGCTCCTATCCAGCTTTCGAATGCTTTGGTGAAGTTTCTCGATACAGGAGAGACTGAATTGCCACGGTCCAACATTGTTATGAGAATTTGGAAATACATTAAGCAAAATAACTTGCAGGTAATAGTCATCAATTCTTGATATTGGTTCTGTTCTATCTCCTTTGGAGCAACCCCATTCTCTCTCTCTCTCTCTCTCTCTCTCTCTCTCTCTCTCTATGTGAGTTCTGAATTTTGAAAACTAGCCTAAAGGACGATATAGTGTGTCTATAATTGACAATCTTATATTTCTTGCTTTTGAAAGATTGCTTGTAAGCTTGGCATTCTCGTTACCTGTCTGATCTTTCTGGTCTGAGCAGTATTTCATTCTGTTGGGCAATGCATTAATTCTTGATTCCTGCTTGGTTTAGGCAGGTAATTTCTTAGAGGTTCTTTAAGGTTTTCACTAGCTATATATTGCTACACATAGACTTCTACAGTACATAGTGTGGCTTCGAGTTACATGAAGCCAATATATAAATGTCCACTATTTTGTCAAAGGTTCTTAACTGTGGAACAATCAGTCCATCCAAGAAAGTTTTCGAAGAAACCATTCTCATAATTAAATTCCAAAATTCTGATGAAGACTTTTCAGAAGTTATATTTTTAAATATACTCGAGGAGAAGTGTATTTGTTAATTTACATCCCGGGGGGATGTTTTTATCTTTTCCTGTAATTATCCGACTTTTCAAAAAGCCTTTTGCTTTATGATTTCTGTCTAATTTTGGTTACTTATGCTCGTCCTTCCTAACCAACAAGGGAAATAGCCTTAACTCTATGCTTCAGCTCCTGCTACCTTCCCTCTTATTAGTCCAACCAAACATAGGTTCCTGCAAAAAGATTTATATATATCCATCTTTTATCATAAGAAGGAAGGTAGCAGGAGCTAAAGTACTGAGTAAGGGTTACTTCCCTTTGTTCATAAAAAAGATCCATCTTTTAGGAAGAGCAGGTTTGAAAAGCGCAAAAGTTTAAACAATGAAATGCGACATGCTTGCTTCCACTCACCCGCATTATTTGCTTTTTATCATCCTCCTAGTTATGACCTCGTTATCCTTCTGAAAAGCAGTTAAAATTACTGGAAAAATCCATTTTTCGTTGTAGTCATGCCAATAATTGCTTAAATACTTTGTTTATGCTTGGCTTACGTTAGCTGTTCATTCTATGAGAAACTTTGTTGGTCAGCTGGAGTATCAGGTACATGACCATACTATTTTTCCCGTGTTGTTTCCCTGGACAGGATGATAGCTACACAGCAGGTTAAATGATGAAACAATTATCATTTTCTTGCATCCTAGTATAGTTGAAAGAAGCACAAGCTCAAATCCTCCTCCTAGGCCGGACCCTTCAACTAGATCATTTCAGTGAGTATTCAAGTGCATCACTTTCCGGTAGGAGTGGCAAACGGGCGGGTCGGGTCGAAAGCGGGTAATGAAAAATGGATAAATAATCCGACCCAACTCATATTTAATATGGATAAAAAAACTGGTTAACCAGCACATAATATGGGTAACCATATTATCCATGACTTCTTGAATATGATATCTTTGGGAGAATTCCTAGTCTCTCAAACTTGAGGAACCCCCAATTTGAGGCTTCACAAATGTAAAAGTTAAACTCATTAGTTATCCATGGAATATCCATTTTCTTAATGAATAATATGGTTTTTATCCATATTTGTTCCGATTTTAAAAAGTTCATTATCCAATCTATTTTTTAATAGATAATATGGGAGGTTAACAGTTTTGTTTTAACCATTTTGCCACCACCGCTTCACACCTAGGCCAAGACCTAAGACTAGTCTTTGCTTCTAGAAGTAAGTAAAGACGATCACATACCTGGATATAAGCTCTCTGTACAACTGAATGCATGACATTGACATCTATTAATGCTATTATAGTTAGCACGCATCATACAGTAGGTTGTTATACTACTAGAAATTTGCTAAAAAACGATTGAAGTTGGTCGGTTATGGCCAATTACCGACCAAAAGAATCCGACCCTGTGGTCCTAGCGCTTCGTATATATATATATATATATATATATAT